CTATTTCCCCTTTTAAATATTTCCCTAAATATTAAAACCGAGCAGTCGTTAAAATATTCCAAGAATTCCATCAATTTTGTTTTTGAGAATATATATTAATAATTACTTATTTATTTTTGTACCTCTTCTGAAAGGTCTCTAGGTATGAAAAAATATTTAAATCCTTAATCCCTAATACGGATAAAACTAAGTTAAAATTCAGGTAAAATTTTAATTTGTCATAATTCAAAATATTTTAAGAGAGACTGGCAGTTCTCACGGTAACCAATATTCGCTATAATTCTTATATGTTTGTACCACCAAAATATTAATGAAAAAATCCAATTTTTTAAAAATGAAAAATATTAAAAATAATGCACTTTTTATCGAGATAACAGCGTTATTCGAAACTCAAAAGCCCTAGATTCTTTCTAGCACAAATATGTACCGCATTTTCACAGTTAGTTGAACCCAGATAGCGATAAATGAAGTCCAATCTTGATCTAAATCTTACGAGTAAATTTAAAACCCCAAAAGCAGACCGAGCTTGTCTGAGGAAGGGACGGATATTATTTGCCGTAGCGCTATGGTACCATTTGCTAGAAAACTCCACCCACCATCAAAAATAGATATTAGGTTGGACGTTTCAGTCAAATACAACAGGTAGATGATCCATTAATTAAGGAGTTAACTTCCTCTGACGAATTTCCCCAAAGAATAACTCGGTAACCTCTCTGAGAATGAAAGAAACATTCAAAATTGGTAACAAAGGCCATACGCCGAAGCAAAACCAACAATAGATAATCTATTAGCAATTATATCGATATGACATATTCATGATGAGAGCTAGGAATATATGCAAAACGCCATATTTTGCATATGTTGCATATATATACAATTTTTGATTTTGAATGCATATATTGACATTTTGTTAATTTTTTGGCATATATCTGACGTACTAATTGGCTGGACATATTAAAATTATGAGTTTCGGAGCAAAATAATATTTTGTGAAATGCCTTTACAGGTCGATTTCCTAAAATGTTGAAGGATTAACTTTTCCCTGTAATAAATTACGGTTAATGGTGTAGGTACTTGAGAGGATTAAATTATAAACACCCTCCTTAAACCAACAAATTTTGCTAAATATCCTTTCAGGTAGTTGTATTAATATCTTCAAATTTCTAAATGACTCAGTTTACTTTCAACTTCATTTCAGTCTTTATTGTTGTGTTGTGTTAACCAGTGGGAAAAATGGCAAAATTAATTGAGTCGTGGGTAAAATCTTATTAAAATTTTGTTGTAGAAGGTGATAACCAGGTGTTTTGTTAAACATGTTCTAAAATTGTAAGTACTTTTTTATTTTGACCTTTTACAATGGTAAATCAAACTACAGTAAAATATTATTTCAACTCACAGTTAAAAAAAAATTAGGGCAACTTTACAACGTACGCATTTATTTAATTTAATTAAAATTTCAACATCTACAGAAATTTATTTGTTTTAGATTCCATGTAAAAAAAAAGTTTCAAATCGACCAACACGCGAAAACACCCTCACATATAGCAAAGCAGAAATCTAAAGACACTCGCAGACAAAGTTAACTTCCCTTGAAACAATATTTAGAATCTGGATCGTCTAGAAATGAACAAGCTATTTTTAATGAACATTTATGCAAAGCTTTAGTGACTTCGAATATCCCTTTAATACGATTAAATAATCCAAATCTCCCATCATTTTTGCAAAAATACTGTAAATTTAACATTCCAGAGCAAAGTATATTACGCAAACGTGGTGTTGACAGTTTGTACATTGGGACTCGTGAAAAAATTCGTGAGATTACCGTTGGAAACCATTTCTACATTATTGTGGATGAAACAACAGACTCTTGTGGTCGATATACAGCCCATTTAATGATAGGTTCATTACGCGAAGAAATACAAATTGGTCCATATCTAATCGCTTCAAAGCAATTAGATAAAACAAATAACTTGACAATAACTCGTTTTATCCAGACGTAATTGTCTTCCTTTTTTCTTCCGGAAGCCCTTCCAACAGAAAAATGTTTATTGCTGTTATCCGATGCTGCCCCGTACATGGTAAAAGCCGCACAAAATTTAAAAATGTTTTATGAAAACTTAATCCATGTTACATGTTTGGCTCATGGCCTTAACAGAGTTGCAGAAGAAATTAGGTCTAACTTTCCTTTAATAAATGATTTAATTAGTAATGTAAAAAAAATATATCTTAAAGCTCCTCTAAGAACTCAATTGTACAAAGAAAATTTTCCTGAATTACAGATGGCACCGAAACCTGTGATTACTCGGTGGGGTACCTAGCTTAAAGCTGCCTTTTTTTACGCAGATAATTATGAAAAAAATAAAGAAATCATATTTGATTTTGATGATTCATCTAAGGGAGTATCTAATACAAAGAAGTTGTTTCAAAATCACATATTACCAAAGCAATTAGTATTTTTAAAAAATTATGCATTTGTACCCAAAATTATATTAGATTTAGAACAAAAAAATTTACCTTTGGCGACTTCCGTAAATTTAATTAAGATGTTTGAATCAGAGTGTAAAAATGTCCAGGGCGATATTGGAAAGACGATTTTCCATAAATTTTCAAATGTAATTTTAAAAAATGAAGAATTTATTGTTTTAAGAAACCTTGCTAATATTTATTCTGGTAACTTTGAAGATAATAATACTATTCATCCAGATATTTCAGGAAAATTTAAGTTTGCACCTATTACTTCTGTAGATGTCGAAAGGAGTTTTTCTTTGTACAAGCACATACTTACTGATAGGAGACAATCATTTAATACAGATAATTTAGAAAAACATCTAATTGTTCATTCGTTTTATAATAATGTTGATTTGTAAATAAAATTAGTTAATAATTAAATAATTATTAGTATTATATTAGGTATTGTAAAATAAAACAAATAATAAATATTAATAAACTATTTCGATCAAATAACAAATTACTCTTATTGCATATGCTCTGTATATTTTTAAATTTTTTACGCATATATTGAAGTATTTTGCGGCATATATATGCGCATATTTAACTACTTTTTGGGTGCATATATTCCTAGGTCTATTCATGATAGATTACTATCAAGTGTTATTATTGTTCGACACTTTCAAGTTTTGTACCACATCCAAAATTAGAGTTTGTTATTTTATCATTATTAAACATATAAGCTTAATAGCATATAACCATTTTTTTTTAACAATTCAATACTGTCAGTAGAATTTGACAGACAAGATGAATATTTTCCGTATTATTGACAAAAATACTAGTTTTAAAAGATCACATATTTAGTTTGATAGTATAGGATCTTTTTTTTGGATAAGACCATTAAAGATCATCTATGCTACTGTGAATCTAGAAAACTTTTTCCAATGGAAACACTCAAAATATTGATATTACAAAATATTGTATTTTTAAGTTAATATTAATCGCAAATTTTGTAAGTATTTAAGGACAATTCGTTTAAAAAATTGCAAAGATCTGTAAGACAATGGGAATTTTGCTTTTAAAGCAAATGTTTTCATTGCTCTCATTACTAGAAATATAAATATTGAATGAAACATTCCAAATAGTAGGAGTTTCCGTAAAACAAATGCGTAATAGATGAAAAAAATATGTGGGAGAAGTTTATTTTTCTTTTCCAGTAATTTAATAATATTAAATATGAGTTTGGAGCCTAAAATTGGTGCGTAAACATTTTGTTTCCGGTCCAAGTTCGGTCATTCGGATATTGTATACTAGTGATGGGACTCTTCATGAAAATAATTTTTGGACTAGTCCGGAAAAGTAGTGAAAAATCACATTGAAAAGTAGTCGACCTTGGGCATAGAATACGCACAGTTGTTGTTTTTTTACTTCAAATTATCGGATTTTTTGGTAGTTTTATTTTTATTTTAATAAGAAATGAAACAAAATTCGAAGATATCGTTAAAACATATAAAAGACAGTAATAATTTGTCGTTTCTTCTATTTTAAACTATAGTTTGCCTTTGTTTGTAAAATATTAAGACAAATTAGTTAATTTCATTTTGCGCATGCGCAATACAGTCTTCCACTTTTTAAAAAGTATGTTTGGATAAGTTAACTTTACGAACTAGTCCGTTGGATTTGTTTGTGGACTTTTCCAAGCGACCCATCCAATATCTAAGAAATGACAAAATTTATGACAGGAATACTGTTTTACAAAACCAACGAGGTATACTATTCAGTTAGAAATTCCTAGGATCTTTTGATACAAATAGTATAAGGTAGCGTGAATGTAGATATCGACGATTATCAGGATGATATTTGGTGATGGCAGTTATCCGCAAACTTACGTAAATTGTAACCAGCACATGGTATACAAAAAAAAGTAGATGGAATCAATCTTCTGGACATTCAAGAAAATTAGCCACTTCCCTGAAGCAAGTGAAAGTACTTGCAGTTCTCGAGAATTAACATATAAGAAGTACTTAAGTTCATACATATCTAGCAGATTTAAACTAGGTACCTAATGTAAAGTTTCTAACATAGAAAAAGCAGATGTGTCGTTTATGCATATATAATTCGATGCTACATAAAGGGAATACATTTTCGTTAAAATGTCAATTTAAAAAAGTATTGACATGTGCCCTTTCTGCATATACCGATTGAATTATGCTTGGAAAAAAAATTAATGCCAGTAATAAATAGAAATACGACTCGTTTTCCTGGACTATATTGTTTGTTGTTGCTGTCTCGCTGCGTTGACCGACTCTGTCTCGCGCCGAGTTTGTCCGAATTAGCGTTACACAGCCGAGAGTGTTTCATTCGCAACCCAGGAAAAAGTTATCTAAGACGCCCAAAAGAAATTTTCCCTACAAAAAGTTTGAAAAATGCAAATCTAATAAATGGAAACGATAATCTCCAACGAATTACTATGAACTTTGACCCCTTGGGTAAAAATTCTGCACAACGCTAATGTACCCGAAATAAAGTTTACAGAACGCATTGTAATTACTATGAAACGTTTCCGAGCTAAATTGAGCGTACCGGCGTTACAGAAACTTTTTTCTGTATTCAGAGGCGTGAAGGTACGATTTATATACATTGAGATGTTAAAAAATGGCGCACTTCCTTGACCTATTTTTATTAGCGAGTTAAATATAGAAAAATACTTTTTTTTTTGTCAAAAATGATTGATTCCGAAAAATGAACAGGAAAATAAGTAGATAATGCGAGATGATAATATTGTTTCATATTTTAATGACAATACGGTGTGCCAAAGCTGGTTCTTATTCTACCGAAAGCTGCCAATTTTGTGAAAGTTCAAAAATGAGGAAGCACACTGGTGGATAGGTGATAAAAGAAATTACGTTTATTATGCCCAGGGTGTCCCAAAAAAGAGACAGGCGAAATATCTTACATACTATTAGAGTTATTCAAATTCTGCACGTTACTTTGAGATTTTTGAGTGATTGAAATATTATTGCATGGGCAGTAAGTTGTAGAGTGTAACGGGGCCAATTAATCTTACTTATCCAGACTTAAGGGTCCAAATATTAGGCAAGCTAAGACGTAAATGATCCAAATATTCTTACATGTACAGGTTTAAGGGGTAATGGCCTAAATACTTTTATAAAGACAAAATATATTGACATGGGAGGCTTAAGGGATAAATGGGCAAATATTTTTACATCGACAGACCAAATATTATTGCACGGGCAGGTAAGGAGTAAAAGAACCAAATATTTTGACATAGGCTAAGGTATCAGTATGCCAAATAGTATTAAATGGGCAGGTAAAAAAGGGTTAAAAGGGGCCAACATACAGGGTGGACCAATCTTGTGGAAAAGTTCGATATCTTCCTTGTTAAAAGAGATATTAGAAAAGTGTATTAAGAAAATATGAACAGGTTTGAGGTTAACATTTTAAAATTATTGGGAGGTATACAGGGTGTTGCATAGCTAGTGTACGAACCAAACATGTTTTTTTTAATGATAACCCCAGTATATTATTTTAGATTCTGTTTACTCATCTTTTTCCATTCTTCTAATGTATGGTTTGTCTATGTTATATAGGGTACTTTTCAAGGAATTGATATTTTTGTAAGAGAATCGTACATAATTCAACGTCCAGTAGCCAATTACACTGTAGAAAAAAAAATTTACCAACACGAATTTTATAATATGATGTATTATACTTTTTTTTAGTTATATTTTTATTATCTGTTTATTTGTATACAGGGAGTCTCAATACTCAGACCCTTGATTTTCTTGTTTTATTTAAATGGGACACCCTATATTTTATATCACCAGTAAAATCATCTGTTTCAAGTCTTTCATTTTTATAAAGCATTCCCTATACCTAAAGTTAATATTTATCGATATTTTTTAACAATAAATGAAAATTATGGTTATTTCGATAAATTAAACTAGTTTTTCATAAAAAAACTATCAACAGTCATAAATAATGTGTGAATACAAAAAAACTCAAAAACAAACAAAATAATTAAAACATAATTATAAAAGTTGTTCAAAGTGACCTCCCATAACATCAATACAGTTTTGTAATCGAATTTCAAATGACTGACTCACATTTCTCAGCATTTGAACATCAATACTTTGAAATACATTTCCGATTCGAGTTTTCATGTCCTCTTTTGTCGTTGCAGGCACATTATATTATACTTTGTTTTTTACATAACACCACAGAAAAAAATCAATTTTTGTCAAATCCGGTGATCGCGCTGGCCACCCTATCGGTCCTCCTCTTCCGATCCACCGTCTTGGAAAGTGATTATTTAAATACTTATGAATTACTAGTGTGATGGACTGGTGCACCATCGTGCAAAAACCACATTTGTTGGCAAAATAACCATAATTTTCATTTATTGTTAAAAAATATCGATAAATATTAAATTTTGAGTTTCAAATTACGTAAGTTGCTCTGTGAAAGTCTTGTATTGGCCATCCTAAATTATGGATTTTTAATTTACTATCCTTGTTTGGATCAAATAAACAAATACAGACTTCAAAAGATTCAAAACTCTTGTTGTCGCTTTGTATTTGGTATAGTAAGTATGATAGAATATCAAATAAAATTAAAAGAACTTAGCTGGCTCAATATAGGAAATTTATTTAAATATCAGATGGCGGCCACGGTATTTCGATTTCTTTCAACCTCAACTCCCATATATTTAAAAAATTAATTGATATATTGGAAAGATCTGCAGTTTACATTTGAGATATCCATCTAACTTAACGATTCCGAGTTACAGATTATCATTTTTCAAACGATCTTTCACATATAACGCCGTTTCAATATATAACAGTCTAACTAGGGAAATTAGGACACGTTCTCCGACATTTTTAAAACAAAATTATAAAACGTTGCTATTAGTTGAGGAATGAATACAGTTCTAACGTTAATATGTTATTATTTTCAAACATTTTTCCTTACTTAATTGTATTTTAAGTTCCATACGTTTTTCTTGTTTTTGCATTTTAAAAATAACGGATTTTAAGACCTAAATTGATTTCAGTCTAGATTAAATACAGGGTTCACATTATTTAATCATAAAATTATTATTATTTTTATTGGTTTGCGGCATTTGTGTTTGAATTTTGTATCTAAGCTCGCCTTACTCCAAGATCTCGTAATTATAGATACATTAACAAACGATTTCGTTTTTTTAAAACAAAGTAAATCTTTTAATCCATTTCTGATATAGAACACCCAAATCGTCTAATAGATAAATAATTATTGTGATTCGGGTCCTTCTGGAAAATGTCTCGGCAAAGGTAACTTAATCGTTATATATACGTGATATACGAGACCCTTCCCATTTCAGTTGGCCCACCTATTGAAATTTAGGAAATTCGTATTTAAAGATTAAAAATATAAATATTGCATGAACTTTCCAATTTTTATTCGTTGAACAATATGTTTAATATCGTTTAATCACAAAAAAATATATAGAAAACATTAAAATATTTATTTAACACAAAATTAAAAAAAATAAACAAATAGTTGGAATCAAACGGTAATCAATTTTAAAGTTTACCACTGAGTAACGTCACCTTTATTTTTTATTACAGCTGAAATTCTTTGCGGCATGGTATTAACTAAGCCTTGGCAAAATTCTGGTGTAAACGAATCCCATATATCTTAAAGTTTTGTTTAAGTTCAGGTATTGTTCTTGCAGGCTGTTTTCGAAGTACCTTTTTATCTCATGCCACAATGTTTCTATTGGTGATAAATCAGGACTACTAGAATCCCATTCCAAAAGTGGAACACCGAAGTCTTCCATCCATTTTAGAGCTTTTTTTGACGTGTGACACCCTGCTCCATCCTGTTGAAATACAAAATCTTTCCTTGATGTCAAATATAATTCCATAGTCGGTAAAAGTGATTCCTCCAAAATGTCCAAATATTTATTTGTATTTACAATTCCTTCAATAAAATGCAGTTTTCCTATTCCTTCAGATGACATGCTGCCCCAGACCATGACCGATGCGGGAAATTGTACTTTTCTTTTGAGACACTATGGATGGAACGCTTCAATTGTTTTTTTGCGAATAACTCGACTTCTGCTATCTCCAACACAAACTTCGAATCGGGCCTCGTTACGCCATTGTATTGAATCCCATTGATGAGAAGTCCAACTCATATGTTCTTTTGCACATCTTAATCGATTTTTTTTCTGTTTCGCAGTTAGTAGTGGTTTTTCTTTAACCTGTAACAATATTGTCAATTTTAAGCAAACATATCTGATTGTTTTAGTGTCTTCAATTCTTGTTTTTTTTATTGTTTTTATTGTTATAAACTTACATTGTAAGTCCCAAATCCCAATTTGCGAGCTTCCCTATGACTTGAAGATCTCGAAATTCGTCTCCCAACAGCATTACTCCACTGAGCACTTAATTCAAGGTAATTAGCACGACGGTTGGTTTCAATAATTCTTCTCAATGCTCGTGTATCGGCATTTGTAATCTTGTTTTTTCTAACATGACGGGGCTTTGGGCTGATTGAACCAGTAGTTTTGTATCTTCTAACTATATTTCTTACACTATATCGTGATAAATCTAACATATTTGCAATTTCCGAGTTCGATTTTCCAGAATTGCAATGTTTCATAACAAGAAAACGTATTTTTTCGTCAATGATTTTTCCTCTACCCATTTTATTAGACAGAATTAGCTTAAAAGAGGTTAAACTGTCTTGTGACCGTTATTTGCATTATTGTTTGTTATTTTTTCAAAGCTACCTTCGATTTTGGTTTTTATTTTCTAACGATTTGAATTCAAGTTGAAATAATGCAATAATGCTCCATGTGTTATTAAATTTAAAAATAAATAAAAAAAATTGATGTTTTCTAGTTTTAGTTCCAATATAATTTTAAATTGATGCATTGTTAATTAATTTATGATATAAAAAAGCATGTAATCTTTAATACTTTCTTATTGTCGTTATATAAAGAAAATATCAATAGGTGGGCCAACTGAAATGGGAAGGGGCTCGTATACCAACGATTGTGAAACTGGCTGTTAGACGAACAATCAACACGTGTTTGCAATATTTACAAAATTTCACTAACTTTCACCATTTTAATTAAAACTTTCCATGACCAGTCCATTTTCCAGGAAATTATCACCCTGAAACCCGCTTCAATCTCATTACTTTTAACCTAGCGACCCCTTTGATTTCGCGGTAATTCGTTCGGTGGCCTTGTAGCCATAACTAAATTAAAATCAGTTATCCCAACACATGACGTCCAGAAAACCGTAGGGAATTATTTATCTGGTGAGATGGTGTTCCAACAGCGATGGATTCTTGAAATTGACGGCCTTCAATTCTTAGATTGACACCTTGGTTGATGACGATCGGTGCCAGGAGCTCGAATTAATAGGATATCCTCTAGTGTCTACTTATTCCGTCTAGAATTTTGCGGGTAGGCGTTGCCAAATATCTGTGTTCGTTTCGAAATTGGTCCCGATGAAGCCGTGAATTATGAAGTACGTTAGAGAAAATTAATTACTGTAATAAAACAATCGCTAAATATAGTATCTTGGTACAATGTAGCCAGTGTTATTAATAATGGTGATGAAGAAGAGAATTTAAATTGTCTTTTTATTTATTATTTTCTAAGAAAATATACTTTTCAGCGTTTATTAAAGGATATGATTATTCGCAAAAGTTCATGCATTCAAGCAGTGCCCATTACAATTTTTTGACAGAAAACTAACAATAAAAAAACTTTTATTCGAAATGATATTAAAATATACAAATGGCAATAAAAAGAAACAAGTTTTAGCACAATCTTATATATATAGTTTTTTTTTTAAACTAGAAACTAAGTCTTGACTGTGATAGACCTGACGCAGCTAATATAATTATGGGTCTGAATATCAGACACTGCCGTATGAAAAGAGTCATCAATCGAGCAGAAGAAGAAACGCTGTCCAGTTTCTTAGAAGAAGAAGAAGAGGGACATCCATGTCCATTACGAATGTCTGACGAAAAGTCAGCTATATTTTGAAGGCTAAGATTTAGATATTCGACTGGCCTAGACAAACTTTGGAAGGAAGAAATTATGAACTATCTACAGAAAAAGGACGCAGGGTTAGAAGGTATATTTACAGTGAAATATGTTGAAAATATTTTGGAAAATACGACCTCAGGATAGAAAAGGTACATGATTATCGACTACTACTAGTCCAGATCATAAGCTGTTATCTCACGTGACCCTTTCGTTGTACATATTGGATTATGATAATTTATTTTTAAGACATCAATAAGTCAAATAGTTTTTCTCCCTAGGGTGCCTTCCTTTACTTTTATGTTTCTTCTACTTTCTGCCTGTAGGATGGTCAACAAGCAAACAGAAGCCACTCGAGAAGGACGCACAAAGGGCTTAATGAGGTTTAATCGTTACGGAACCCAGTTTGCACTTATATTAACATATTTAATTTATTTTGTTTCTTTTTCCATGCTTATTTTCATTAATTGTTTGGAACCTATTGAGGTTAAAATACTATAGAGCCTAGTCTACACTTCCAAATTATATTTATATAATTAATTCGTTTTGTCTATGTTTATTTCCATACTTATTTTTTTTTTTTGGAACCTAATGTGTGTATATACTGTTTTCTTTAGGTTTGCGAAAACTTTGATTAACCAGTTTCGTATTTTCTTGTTTGCATTGTTTGGTTAACCTTTCTTTGTAGTAGAAAAACTAGATGATATTCTGGCTAATATTTCTGATAACAATACAACCTATTTGACTATAGTGCTTTTGGTTCATAGTATCCCTCTCTCACATACGTTTTTTTACAGGTTTTTGAGTATCTAAGTGTTTGGCTGCTTCTGGTTCCTAAACGACAAAATTGACAAGATTAAACCTCAATTGTAAATACATATTTTGTTTAGGTATTCTTATTAGAGCATGGTTAATCATAATTCCTGTTTTTTATCCTAACTGCTTCCTATTCATCAAATAAAGGTTTCTCCATATAGCAGGTATTTGTTTTGGGACGTTTAGAAAGTAGTTGTTGCGTCTTCCCGAGGTCCACTCATTGAATCAAAAACAACATCACACAAAATATTTGCAAAATTTCACTGAGTAGACGACTTCAATTAAAGCTTTTTATGACCAGTCATAATACCCTGATTTTCCAGAGAGTAATCATACCGAATTCCGTTTTAATCGTATTTAATTTCAATCGAACAATATCGTTACTTTTAAACTCGTAATCCAGTTTAAATGCCTTACCTTTAACCAGGCGATTTCGTCTTAATCGCGTTACTTTAAACCTAGCAATTCAGGTTTTAATCACACTACTTTTAACCTAAGAATCCCGTTTAAAATATTATTGCTTTTAGCCTAACAATCTAATTTTATTCGCATTTTAAGCACATTAACTTTAACCTAGGAATCCTGTTTAAAACAGCCTTATTGTTAACCTAGCAATCTCATTTTAATCGCACTACTTTTAACCTAAAAATCCCATTTAAAATAACATTATTTTTAACCTAACAATCTTATTTTAATCGCATTAATTTTAACCAAGGAATCCTGTTTAAAACAGTCTTCTTACCTACTTTCAATTTAGCGATTTCATTTTAATCGCACTACTTTTAACCTAGCAATCCGATTAAATTCGCATTGCTTTTAACTTTTAACTTAGCTATTCTTACTAAACTGACTTTCTCAGTTGCATTTGTTTTTGTAAAACATTTTAGGCACCAAAGAATTCTAGCATAAAAATAATCATATTATTTCCTTGACTTTTGACTATTTTAATTAAAACTTTCCATGACCAGTTCTATCAATCACGTTTTAATAACCTTACTTTTTAATCTAACAATCCCGTTACTTTTAACCAACAATCCAATTTAATTGCGTTATTTCTAACTTAGCAATACCGTATAACTTTTATTATAACCTTTTTAACGTAGCCATGGTAATTTAGTTTCATTGCTTTTAACCTAGCAGTTCCCACCAAGTTGTTGATTGGCAAATTAGCTGCATTTTCAAGGTTTTTCAGGTGTACAACGTAGCATCGTGTCTTTACTCGCTAGAGTATAATCATTTCGCTAAACAGCCGTGTGACTGACGGTTAGCCATATTCTTTATGGCGTAGCAACGAGCAAACAACACGACAGTATTAGGGAATGTGTGCCGAGAGATATTTTTAGACTTTGCCCACATTAAACACTAGAAAACACTGTCGTCTAAACGGCATTATTTCTTAATTATTCTATATGGATCCAGAGTCCCAAAAGTGGACGGTATCAAGCCTCGAGGGTTGATAAAACATGGTTAGTTCGGAATTCAACGAAATAAGTTCATTCCATATCGCTAATGCAACAAACAAAAAAAGAACAAAAAAACATATACCGGGTGTTCAAATTAAAGCGTTACAGCTATATACCGCTTTTTATAAAAAAAGAAACGTTTCAGACGAAAGTTTTATAGTTTTGTGGGGAAAAATTTTTGGCTACAATCGTTTTTTATAGCTAACCATAATATGGCCAACTTTTTTTTCGCGCAGCAAAATTTTCAAGTAGCTGTGACTCAAAAAGTAAAAGTCCAATAAAAAAAATATTTCCCTCAAAAGTTTCTTATTTTTTTATGAACTAAGAATATGTAAAAAAAAACTGGGGTTGCAATTTGAAAAAAAAAATTCCACCTCGATATGGCCATATTATGGTCAGCTATAAAAACATTAATTTAACCAAAATGTTTCCCCTAAAAAACTATAAATTTTTTGTCTGAAACTTTTTTTCTAAAATGAATATTTTCGGCGGTATTTAACTGTAACACTTTAATTTGAACACCCGGTTTATATAAGTATTTATAAAGAATACAAAATTGTGATTAGTACAGAATATTTATGAATAAAATTAGAGACGAGGGAAATCTAAAAAAAAATGCTAGGAATGATAGCTATGTAGTCTGTTAGACAGTTTGACACCTCCACATTTACGATCATGATACTTATGATGCAGAGAAAAGAGTGGAAACACGTAGAGTCTCCTCCAAAATTCAAAGAGGTCCTATCAGCTGGAACTAGAATAGAATATACTTTATTTGCTTAAATAAACTCACAGCAGTTTTTAGCTTAGCATCGTCAAATATCAGAAAACAAAATTTATATATACATTACATTTTATATTTATATAGAAAACAATTTGGTGACGTCAACTTGACATTTTAGTTAAGAAATTTTTCGTGTTGCAAAATTACTTAAAACATCCTCATAAAATTCTTTGATTGAATAAACTGCTAGATAAAATAATAATTCCTTGATCTTTTTTTGAATTTATATTCATTAAAAAGCTTAAACTATGGGGGAAGTTTATTATATAGTTTAATAGAGTTGCATATAAAGCTTTTATCAGTTAATGTTAGTCGGTGTTGTGGTAATAACAATTGTTCCCTTGACCGAGTGTTGTGCTCATGGGTATCACCTAGTAATATAGGATTTATTTTATTTGTTTTTACATGATAATTTTCTGATTAAAAATAGCGTGCTAGATAGTTTTTTTGATAGACTCTCTATATGCTGTTTCCAATCAAGTTTATTATCTAATGTTAAACCTAAGAATTTTGTTGATTTAGTTTGCTGAGGTATATCTCTGAGTGTAAACAACATTTTGACTGTTTTGTCAGTATTCAGTAAAAGATTATTACTAGAGAACCTTAAGTTAGACAAGGCAAGAGTTTCTAGCTCGTCTTTGTCCTTGTTACAGTGATAATAAGTAGTGTCGTCTGCATACTGAACGGAAAAAGTAGGCTTCAGATAGTAAGGTAGGTCATTCGCGTATAGTATAAAGAAGGTTGGCTCAAGAATTGAGCCTTGGGGTACTCCAGCATGAACTTTTTGAGTTTCTGAAGTATTGTTTCCAATTTGTACAAATTGACAACGGTCTTTTAAGTACTGGGTTAGGAGATCAAGACCTTTACCTCTTATACCATAGTATGGGAGTTTATCCAATAGTTTGCTGTGGCTAACACAATCAAATGCCTTTGAGAGGTCACAGAAACTTGCTGAATGCATCTGTGTATCCTCAAAAGCACTGACAATATCAGTCACCAGCTTTGTGATATTGTTGAGGACTAAATTGTTGGTCACTCAGAAGATTAAATTTGTTAAGGTCTATTGTTAAAAGTTTTTTCAATAGGCTTTGATAGTATAGGTACTATTGATATAGGCCTGTAGTTTTCTGGAAGGTTTTCATTTCCTTTTTTTTTGTATATAGGAGAAACTTTTGAAGTCTTTAAATCCTGAGGAAATGTGCCGTCAGTAAAACATTTATTTATAATCACGATGAGTGGATCATATATACCGTCTGCTAATAATTTAAGAATCCATCCAATGTTGTGCTATTGGATAATTCATTAACAATATCTTTAATTCCTCCCTATTTACCGGATATAGAAAAAGAGTATTGTTATTCCAAACATGAGTCTAAGGGCTCTCTATTTGAGATAGGTGCCTGTAACAAATTTGTGATATTATTAGATACATTGAGGTAAAAATTATTAAGATCACTAGGGTTAAGTTTAGTGTTATTTGATTTTTTTATCTTTTTTATTTGGTTTCATGAGTTGCCATATACTTCTGGACCTATTCTTGGATGAATTAATTTTATTTGTGAAATAGTTTTTGTACCCGAATTTTATTTTTATCAATTTTGTTAGTTGGTGTAAATCGTTTAGCTGTTTTAGTTTTAGTTCATAATTATACCATTTTTTATTTTTATTTCGTGTATGAACGTTTTTGGTTTTTATTGGTAAATATTCTTCAACGGCATGTCGGAATGTTTCTAGAAATATATGGCACATATTATCTACACTATCTGAATCATTAAGTAAAGTCCAGTCATGGTTTTTTAAGTAATCAATGCAGTCGTTTATTCTTGTTTCGTTAGTGGTCTGAATTTTATGATGCTGGTCTGATTATCTAAGCAATGATTTTGAGGTAAGTTAATCGTTTTTATGATACGAGGATGTATCA